GGATGGATGGATGGATGGATGGATGGATGGATGATAGACAGACAGACAGTTACAGAGTTAAAACATGGGAGGAAAATCTTACTTGTGGAATCTTGTAAATGGACAGGATAGGTCCCATGTGGATGCAGACTTCAGAATTAGGTCCCCCAATGACTGACACTGGATTGTTCTCGGTGTCACTCTTGTAGTTAGCGATGAACTTGCCTTGTGTTGAGAAGAGTTCCATCGAGGCATGATATGTCCAGCTTGCTATAAAATGACTGTTATAGATATGGAAGCCCCGAGTGAGATTGGGCAGAATCTGGGGATTTTCATTGATCTCCTTTACAGCAAATACCAAAGACAGGATGTGCTGGTAGAGCTGAGTCACCACCCTGAAATGAAAATTACATGCTGATTTGAACACATTGGTTTCAGAAAAAGAGCTGCAAGACACTTTAGTTCAACTCACAGCTTTAAACATATTGTACTCATTTCTACCATCAGATGATTACTAATGAATATTGCTGGATACATCTATATCAGTAATGATACTACTTTAAAGGCCACTATTTAACATCAGAAATTGCCAAGAATGCAAGTGTTCAACTAAGTACCATACACAATTCAATATCAATCATATTATTGTCTTTGTGCTTCCTGCTGCAGTTGCATCTACATTCTATAGCATCATTCTGCAAGTGTGAAAAACATGCATTTTATATCAGTGATAAATTCAGGGGTCACCTCCACCAGTTTGTTCTCTTCCCTCTCTCCTTAATTAAGCTCATCAATTAAAATTAGCATCATCATCATAAACAAGGTTTCTCCTGGCCACAAAAGTCTTGCAAGACTGAAATAACTAAGCAGTATATTATTATGAATAATTGAAGTTCCAGGAAATTATTGGTAATAAATTCAATCTGTTGATGTTCATTCTAGTAACAGTGAAAATCAGAACAACTTTAAGTCTCAGCATCAATGACTAGATGAAAGATTTAAAAAAAAATTGGGAAAAATTGTTATCTTCACAAGCGTACTGAGGCATTTCATTACTCAGTAATAAATTTATTTAGCCATGCAACTGAATTACCCCAATTATTTTTAAGGAACAGGGGAACCCTGAAATAAAAGGGATGCTTCATTAGTGAAAAAAAAAAATTCTGTAAGAAAGATTTCAATCCAAAAAAACTAGGAAATGGATTTATGACTATCCCTGGTGGAACTTTATTAACAATAATTATTATTTCATTAACATCTCATCCTCATGCAATAGGCTAGGAATACAGTAGAAAACAGTATTTTATTATATGTGATTCCTAAAGTATCCTCCAAAGTAAAGTACAAATAACTTAATTAGTAAACTGCAGAAAAATATATACATGTAACATATTTAAACCTGTTCCACGGAATTAACTAAGAAATTGACCTGTCAAATTATACTAAATATCAGAATTATGAACTCATCCATATGAATGAGATTGAATAGAATGGTTTATTCCCAATGCATTACTGAATTGAAGTTTACACGCAAAACATTCTTAAACAATTCCCGTCTTTATGGAAAAAGGGATAGTAT